TCTTCAGAGGAATGGGAATCTTCAGCGATAAACTGTCGGTATATGGCTTCAATGTTGCACCTCAACTCTATCACACATCGACACTCCGGCAGGCATGAAATCATATCTTTGATGCAATACCTACACCCATGTGCGACCCTGCATATCCACTTGGTGCTGTGAGTGACTTTGAGTGCTTTTTCTCTAATTTTTTGAGAAAATTTCTCTTCAAAAACTAGAAGAACAAACATGAAAAAAACATGCTGAAAGGGCCTGCGTGATGGTGATAAAGCCAATGGCCTTGACTGATGTCTTCTAGGGCGATGACTACATAGAAGGTGCTATATTGAGACGAGATCCTCGAACTTCTGCATCGTAGCGGCCCCTCCAGCTACCAGACCACCTCTTGCATGATGATTAGAGCCAAATAATGGAAGTGGTTGTTCTAAGTAGTAATTTTGGCCAATTTTCTAAGCTAATAGTAGTCTAGGCTTATTTAGAACCTTAGAAATGACAAGGGGGCCTCCTACTTTGCGGACATCTCGCAATATCAACCAATTCAAAATGTGAAAGCAACATTGGCATAACAAAAACTCATATTATGACTACGGCTTGCTAAAAATAGTCAGGATTCTCAAAAATATCCCGAATGCCGTGTGATCAATGATACTGGTTGCGATAAGAATAGCCGTGAACTCATAACTCCACTGCGGGCCATTCAACAGCTTCACGTTTTTGAATGGCGGTGAGCGGCAACGGGAAGAAAATGCCGAAATGTTTCGATATGCCGCGGGTCGGACAAAAAACCAACAAGCAACCGAGGGCAGGCACAATGGCTCCGAAATGGCTATAAAAGCTCGCACGCGGCTTGAATCTGATTCCAGCCATGAGAGCTACCTTCATTGTGGCTTTATTTTCAGCTGCTGTCGCGGGTAAGCATCGTTTATTCATTCATTACCCGTTGCCAATACTGGGCATTACCCTTCGTTTTGAAACTCCTAGACTTCGACACTTTTCAATTTTGAACCTTATTTTTAGCTTAGATAAGAATTTATTTACTTCTCAAAAGGTACTTCGTCATCGTAATAATTCAGTACCTGACTGCTACTTACCATTCCTGGATGCAGCCAATTCCTGCAAATCAGCAAGCGATTGCCTTGGTGGCGCTTGCGTCTACAGTATCAATCAAATGCAAAGAGTCTGTTGTGAACCGAAGAAAGGCAGCGTTCAGCCGGGTTAGTATTACAATGATTAACGAAGACCTTCGGATCGTAGAATCAAATAATGCCTTTTTTCTCTGTAAACCTGGTTAAAAAAGTACTATAAATGACTAATTGAGCGGTCCTATTGAGATTGTTGCCTTCAACTTTGCGTCGGATTCATTAAGGTGGTTTTAACATTATTAAAGGTCAGCCATTGAGTATCTATATCTTCTCAGGCGATACTGATGGCATCCAACTGGCCAAGGAAATAGAGATGCTCAGTTCCTCCGCCATTTCACCCAGTAGTGCAAAAATGTACCAACATAATGTACAATGTGAGCGCATTGAGAGTCAAGGTTACGGTGGTAAATATTCTAGCTGTACTGCTTTGAAATGACGCTACTAAACGTAGAACTACCATGGGATATGTTTCAAATGGCATATGGATCTGATTAATTCAATTATAGATGGATGGGCTTCATTCCAGTACCTCTCTGGATGAAGAGATTAGTTAGAGATAGTGAATACGTTAATTTCGTTGTCCATCATAAATTGAAGTAGATCTCAATATGAGTCTCACAGT